CTTCTGGAGGCATCACCATCCCTGACTTCAAGTTCTATTACAGAGCTATAGTCCTGAAAACAGCTTGGTATTGGCACAAAAATAGACAGGTAGACCAATGGAATAGAGTAGAAAACCCTGATATTAACCTACACACCTATGAACACCTGATTTTTGACAAGCAATCCAAATTTATATGATGGAACAAAGAGAACATCTTCAACAAATGGTGCTGGCATAACTGGATGCGGACATGTAGAAGACTACAGATACACCCAAGCCTATCGCCAGGCACCAAACAAGTCAAAATGGATCAAAGACCTCAACATTAACCCAGTCACACTAACCCTATTAGAAGGCAAAATGGGAAATACCCTTGAATTAATTGGTACAGCAGATTGTTTCCTGAACATTACAGCAGTAGCAGAGACACTGAGATCAACAATTGATAAATGGGACCTCCTGAAACTGAGAAGCTTCTGTAAGGCAAAGGACACAGCAAGACAAAACGTTAGCCCATAGACTAGGAAAAGATATTCACCAACCCCACATCTGACAGAGGGCTGATCTCCAAAATGTACAAAAAACTCAAGAAGCTAGTCTCCAAAACACCAAATAATCCAATTAAAAAGTGGGGTACAGAACCAAATAGACAATTATCAATAGAGGAATCTAAAATGGCTGAAAGACACATAAGAAAGTGTTCAATATTCTTAGCCATCAGGGAAATGCAAATCAAAATAACTCTGTGATACCATCTTACTCCTGCCAGAATGGCCAAAATCAAAAACACCAATGACAGTTTATGCTGGAGAGGATGTGGAGAAAGGGGAGCACTTCTCCACTGCTGGTGGGAGTGCCAACTTGAACAGCCACTTTGGAAATCAGTATGGTGTCTCCTCAAGAAAATGGGAATCAGTCTACCACAAGATCCAGCAATTCCACTCTTAGGCATATACCTAAAAGAAGCACATTCATACAACAAGGACATCTGTTCAACCATGTTCATAGCAGCACTATTTGTAATAGCCAGAAACTGGAAGCACCCCAGATGCCCCTCAATTTAAGAATGGAATGAGAAAATATGGTACATTTACACAATGGAGTACTACTTTGCAGAAAAAAAAACAATGGAATATTGGAATTTGCAGGAAAATGGATGGAACTAGAAGAAACCATTCTGAGAGAGGTAAGCCAATCACAGAAAGACAAACATGATATGTACTCACTCATATATGGATTTTAGACATAAAGGATTACCAACCTTCAATCCACACTGCCAGAGAATCTAGTAAACAAGGAGGGCCCTAAGAGAGACATACATGCTCTCCTGGAGAAGGGGAAAGGGTCAAGATCCCCTGAGCAAATTGAGAGCATGGGAAGAGGGGGCAGGGAGCTACAAGAATGAGAAGGGAAGAAGAGGAAGGATGCAGAGGTTAAGAGCGACCAGAAAGTTTGAGTCAGGGGAAGAATAGAAGAAAGGATATGTGATAGGTAGGGTTTTAGTTGGGGGGGTGGTAGGGGAGGACGGGAGGGAGAAGGGAACTGGGATTGACATGTAAAACAATCTTGTTTCTAATTCAAATAAAAAAATCTGAAAAGAAAAAAAAAGATTCCTAATTAAGGGAGAAAAAAATCAAAGATATTCCCTGACTACTGTTGAGAAAGTTAAGAGAACCATCTAAAAACACTTCTAGTATGAGATGCCTAAGTGCCAAAGTCCTTATAAGTTAGCATTTTATTTTTCAAGAGCAGAAAACTCAATATGAAATTTTATCCCAATAAATTCATTCCAATATATCTTTAGATATTATGGATTTAAGTTTAGAGTTTCATTGAAAATTTTATGATGCAAAGTAAATTTTCTTTTCTCCTCCGTGCATGCTTGAGTTAGATGCTGAAAAACTAGATGAGGGAGGACAGTCACTCACAAGCTCACAAAATGTTGAGTATATTCATATCAATAAGGAATCCTTTCCTTAATAATGTCATTACTAATGCTAGGTGAAATAACATGTCACTTTATTTCGAGAAAAAAATGACCAATAATGGATACACAAGGCATTTTTAGGTAAGACTCTTCCCTGAAAAACAAATCAAGACATTTCAGCTTGTAACAATTTATATTGTTGGGGAAAAGTCATACTGTATGTGGATTATCTATTATATACATATATCTAGCACTTGCCCTCCTCTCTTCGACTCCTGGTGACCTGCTCTTTTCTTCCTGGCTTCAGGCATGAACATACCAAGATTTACACTGTCACAGCACCCTACCCTTGTGGTCACAGTGTTAGTTATGGATTAAGATAATCAGAATCTTAGATTCAGTCCTGCCAAGAAGACAGGAGAGTAAGTGTGAAGTGATTTATTACGAAATGTGCCCAAGAAAAATAATGTAGCTGAAAGCTGAGGAGGAAGCCAGGCAATTGATACAGAGAAGGAGAGTCATGCAAGGGTCCAGTGGGAGGGAGTGTCCTGTGAAGGGACATTTGATGGTAGTCTTCCCACCCACCCATGGTACAAAGGCTCGCTGGAAGTGCTGGAAGTTGTACCATGGCTATACTTTATTGCAGCAGCTGAATACCCAATGAAATCAGAAAAAAGAGCACATGGGATGATGCTAAAAGAAAAAGTGAGTTGTATGATTTTATGGCTTATCTCTCAGAGGACATGTGACAAATTATGGATGTTGCCAAATAAGAAAACTCAGTGGGTCTAGTCATGTGGGCAGTTTCTGCCCAGCACATAGTCAAATTCCAAATGCCCTAGGAAAGCTGGTATCCATCATCAACCACGTGATTTGTGCTAAAGGATTAGGAAGAGTGACTTTAATCAGAGGATGCTGCACTATCTACTGATTTCCACATCCTCAAATGCCAACCTATGACCACCGAGGCTTGAGTAGTCCTCCCTAAAGCTTGCAATTTCCTCTAGCTACATTTGCTCTTTGCTGAAAAGATGCTCTGGGCTCCTTCCCATAGGAGGGTTCTGAATGCTGTGCAGACTACAATTCATTTTTGAGCAAGGCAGCTAAGATTCTATTTCCACACCTGTCTGTCATTGTTTAAAGGACACCCACCAGGAACAGCTTTCTAGGCACTTTTTGACATCTGTAAGTGTATCCACACCGGTTCCAGCTGCCCAAGGGCAAGTCCTCCAGCAAAAAGTTGTAGGAGCTTATTGTAATGAGTGACAGCTCATGGTGAGAGTCAAGCCTAGAAGATGGACCTGGGCCTGAGGGGATGTAGGTGAAGGACTGACAGCATCTGCTATGTCACCCACCCTGGGATTGTGTATCCTAAACCAAAAATAGAGAATGGCCTTTCTTGAGATGAATAAACAGGCAGAGTGTGAGCCTCAAGCTGTCAGGAGCCAGATTCTCCACCATGGGTACAAGAGCTTTCCATGGTGGCTGAGGATGACATCAGCACACAGGGAAAAGTCAGCAGAAGATAGATTTTAAAAACTACACAGAGAGAAAAAAAACTACCTGTTGACTTGCTTCAGGATCCCCTTGAAGCAGTCAGCTTTGCCACCTCTCCCTTGTTTTTGGTCAATGTGAATATTCTCCTGCTTCCTTGTGTATTTTGCATCTGCTGTTTTAATTTAGCTTTGTGACTTATAACCACTTGACAAGGTCTTGACTCTATAAAATAGACTGCTTTTTTTTATTATGTAATGAACCTAATAGACCATGTGAACCCGATTCAGAGACATTTGAAGGCAAATTTTATTTCCCTTTGAAGGTAAGAATAGCTTGGTCTGTGTATTTTCTAAAAGGGATTTTGAAAAACCAGAGCTACCATTCTCACCCATTCCACCAACCACCTCTTGCAGTCTGTTTTTATAAACTGTGTTTACATCTTAAAGTTAATTACAAATTATGAAGTTCAAATTTCAGTGTTCATAAAAATACTTTTTAATTTCATGAATAAAATGTATGTGGAAGATTTTCTCTCTTTTATCTGTACACTCACCTACACAATAACCTTGACTTTGTCTTTTGGCCAACGTAAACTGAAATATTTATAATCTTGACCTTTTCCAAAGGTGTTTGCCAATCCAAATCCTTGAAAACAGTAAGAGAATAAAACAGATTTCTGAGGCAAAGAATTGTCTTATTATTTCTAATAATCTTTCATAATATTACATGTAAATTATCTAAAAATTAAAAATTCCATCTTGATAGAAATACATAGGTAGCTGAACTGAAAAAGCATGAAGACATGCAGTAGGAAGTGTGGGTTAATGGCAGTTACTGACAATCACTAAGTGGACCACTATAATGAGTGTTTGAAATCTGTTAAAACTGTTATCTGCTTGCCTACCAAAGGGGAGGACTTGCAGAGGGAGGACTTGATGAACTGAGGTTGCTTGGGACAGGTGAGAAAGAAACTGTGAACATGAAAGGGCAAGGGCAGACTTGAGGGACCACTCAACCATAATGTGGAGGTAATTAATATTGGTCTGCACCTTAAAGATACAGCCATCAAAAAGAGAGAAAGTGATGTGTTTTATTAACACACACTCCTTACACTCATATTTAAAAACAATGGGGATGTGAGATTCGTCTGAGAGAATTTCACATCCCAGAAATATTTTTGGAACTTTCTCATCTTTTGTGGAAGATAAACTGGTGGTAGAAATGTGTCTTTTTACTACCACAAACTGAAATGTACAATTCCCTCAGTTGCCTTCCTGTCAATATTAACTTTACATTTTTCTTAACATGTCATCTTTCTGTGCTGACAGGAAGAAGAAAAAGAAACATGCTAATTGACTGAAATAAAAGTGGAATTTCCAAGGCTGACTATCTACATCGTTCCTTTGCTGGCTTTTCATGGGTAACAGAGTGTCTAATGTTCAGGGACAAGAGGATCAGACCACAGGGTGCCTGCCAGCTCTCTAGAGGCCAGAAACCCAAATTTGCATGCATATAAATGAGGCCAGAAATAGGTTTCGAGAAAAAAAATGGAGCAGTGTGCTAGAGCTGTGCACTGTGTAAAGGGACCTGGACTCACTGATGGAGGGGAAATCTGGACACTGTTAGATGGAGGATAGAATGACAATAGGAAAGAGCTATTCAGGAGCATGATATATTTTCCCAGTGTGCTATGCCAAGGCAGCGTATTGTTTAATTGTGTAAAGTATGAGACCCAGGACCTCCTTTCCTCTCACCTTCCAAAATTGCTTAGGCTTGCAGAAGGAAAATTTGGCATCCTTTTCCATTCATTTCAAAGGATGAAAGAAAAGGCCAACATAGAGATGTATTGATCTTTGGAAAGGTCAGGTGCAGATTCATAGGTCAAAGTGCTACTTCTGAACAGTTAAGATGCCATGTGAAGGGCTGATCCACAGGAAAAAAAATAAAAACAAAGGAATATTCCATGCTTACAATTAACATTTTGTAACCCTTTTTAATAAAGAGCAACATAGTACTATATATGTATGTACCCGTATTATATATGTATATGTGCATTGTGTACATATACACATGTGTGGACACATATGAAGACATTTATCATTATTAACTTTAAAATAGAAGTCTATTTCAGAAAATAAATTCAGTCACTGTAAAAATTAGAAACATACTTATTGCACTCCTTAGCCTTGAAGTTAGAAAAAGAAAAGTTATATCAAGAAAGTTAAGGGAAGATGGAAAATAGGAATGAAGAGAGTGAAGCAAAGGGCATATAAAGCAGAAAGTAGGCATTTAAAGAGGAATTAAGAAAGAAATAGGGAGAAGGAATAAAAATGGGTGTGGCAGAAAAATCCCAGTTTTGATGCTCAATACATGTCCAGTGTCTATATCCCCACAGTAGGGAAAAGGGCTAGGAGGGCAGATGAGAGGACCAGTGGACTGGAGAATCTTGATAATTAAGGCTTCTGAGATGAGCATGCTGTTTGGAGATCCTCTGTTCTTTGACATACCATACTTTTTTTTTTTTTTAAGGGAACTGCATTCACACAGGGACCCTTTAAAATGAGAACAAACAGTCTAAAGCAGTTCCTTCAGAATTTGAAATCTGTTGTGTTTCCTTTTCTAAGTTCACAGCAAAGTTTTGAAATAAAATGCTCGTTTCTTTTGTGGTCTTTGCTGTCTCTTCTTTCTTTTCTTATTCTTTTTGGTTTTTTGAGACAAGGTTTCTCTGTATGGCCTTGGCTGTCCTGGAACTCACTCTGTAGACCAGGCTGGCATCGAACTCATAGAGATCTGCTTGCCTCCGCCTCCTGAGTGCTGGGATTAAAGGTATGTACCACCACCACTCAACCAGATGTTTCTTCTTACATGTGAAGAAATGGACACATTTCAGAGTGTTGCCCCAAAGACTTAGTGATTCTGAATATCACTGTAGAAGTTGGCTGCAACTTGTTCATTTTGTTGGTTTCCCTTTTGATCTGTCATTCTTTGTACTTTGTGTTGGTCTAAGTGCGAATAACATGTAATTGAACCCAACCATCCATGCTCCCATCTTCCCTGTGTAAGTCTTATGATGTAGCCCATATCTCTCTAAGTATGTTTGTACAGTGCCTCATACTCTAGGGAAAGATGTTGTCTCCAATCTAACTCCCTTGAATCACTCCTCCAAAACAAACTAAATCCGTTTGCATGTCTTAATGCTGGCTTCCTCACTAAAACTGTATATGCCTTTTTTTATTTGATTACACAACACCTTTTTCTTCCTAAAAGGATTACATGCTGACCACAAACTTCTGAAGAATTCAATATCCATATACCACATATACGTAATTATATGTTTACCATTTTAAAACATCTACATTACAATTTCCATGAGCATAAATAACCTGCTTTCTCTCAGATGACCCACAAAGTACAACAAATATGTTCTTTTTATCTTTGCACAGGGCCAATACAACACAGTGTATCTCTCAAACAACTTCTGAGAACACTTGGTTGCACATATAACTGTCTATTAAGCACACTCTGCATATTTATATATGCATCTATGCTTTATAGCTGAACTTTTTCTTGGCCACTGAGAGCTACCACAATAGCCTTGCACTTTGTGTTCTTTGCTAGTGAAGTTACCACATTGTTCTACAATGTTATTAATTCATTGTATATGATCCTATATTAAATAATATTTTATACAAGTATCTATTGTACATTGATTATATTAAGCCAATACTCATTTTTCACCATTCCTACTGTTAGTCCCTTTTGTTGCTTTATAATATTTTCACTTTAATGCCATATACACACACACATGATTTTATATATCTATTTAAAATTATTTAAAAATTCTGTATATTTGCCGAGCAGTGGTGGCTCATGCCTTTAATCCCAGCACTTGGGAGGCAGGGGCAGAGGCAGAGGCAGAGGCAGAGGCAGAGGCAGGCAGATCTCTCTGAGTTCAAGACCAGCCTGGTCTACAAGAGTTAGTTCCAGGACAGTGTTTAAAGCCACAGAGAAACACTGTCTCGAAAAAAAATTCTGTATATTTAAAATCTAAAACCTATAATGAGAGAAAACGTAACATTTGGCTTTCTGAGACTGGTTTAATTTACTCAAAATCATTATGTTTCATTCTATCAATTTTCCTGTGAATGACAGGACTTCATTGTCTGTGACAATGAATATACATATTCTTTATTGATTCCTCTGTAGCTGAATGCCTAGATTGGTCCCACAACTTTACTGTTCATAGTGTCATATAAACATTGCCATGCAAGTATTTTTGTGACAGGTTGACTTGGAGGCCTGTGGGTAAAGACCTAAGAATGTCAGCAATGTGACAATCTATAAATTAATGAGCATTTCTTAGTGGGAAGGTAAATAATTAAAAAAGAAGGAGGTTTATAATGAATGAAAACACAGCTCCTGAATCATTGACTAAAAACCCATGATGTTTAAAGAATACAGTCATTTCATGCATCAGTCACTACCTTTATCTCCTATTTCTGTTCATTTTTATTATGTTCCTTGCTGAGTTTTCACTTATCCAGGGAGTGCCTTTCCATTTCAGATCTCAAAATAGACCAGTTTTCTTCTCTGTGCTAATTGAAGAAGACTCCAATGTAGTCAAGGAGCAACAACAACGACAACAAAACAAAACACCAAGAATAACAACAAAAACGCACATTAGATTTTATGAAAAGATCATCTAAGTCATATGCTGTTGTCTTGGATGAGTGCCCTTAAGATGCAGTATTTGCCTCATGTATTAGTCAGGGTTCTCAAGTCATAGAACTTATAGAATGAATCTCTCTCTATATATATATACATATAAATAAATATATGTATAGATAATGTTATATTATAATATATATCTATATTATGTTAAAGATATATGAATCCAATATATATGTATATATGCATGCGTATATGTAAATGTATATATTTGAATGGTTTACATGTTACAGTCCAGCTAATCCAACAATGGCTAGCTGTGAATGGAAAGTCCAGGAATCTAGTAGTTGCTCAGTCCCACAAGGCTGGTTGTCTTAGTTGATCTTCCATATATGTTGAAATTCTGAAGAGGTAGGTTTCAATGCTAGTGAAGGAATGGACTTCCTAGGAAAATGAAGGCAAGCAGGCAAACAGCAGAAGGTATGGCCCATATTAAAGGTGTGTCTTCTTTCCTTCAGATCTGGATCAACCGTGTGTATCTTCCTACCTCAAAGATTCAGACTAGAAGTGGATTTGCCTACTCCAAACCAAGTAGAGAATCTCTCACACTTGTGCCTTCTATTTCTGGGTTACAGTTCATTCCAGATCCAGTCAAGCTGACAACCAAGAATAACCCAAACATCTCATACACAGCTAACCCAGAAGATGGAAGAAAACTGGTAGTGCCAATTGTCACTGAGTAAACACAGCATTTCACTAGACTTGGTCCTTAGGTTGTCTTATGTATTTAATCCAGCCAAGTTTCAAGCTGTTATTGTTGTCAGAGATATAAAGGTGGTCCTTGCCTACAGTGAGCACACAGTGGAGCAGGTGGCCTCCTGTCTTTCATCTCTGTAAGTCCAATAGAAGTCATCAAGACACTGACTTTATTTTTAAATGAATAAGTTTTCAGCTCTATGTATTAATATTTGCCTTCTAGGATGGAAAGTAAACACCTTATGAAACACTAATGATTCATCTCTTAGACAGAGAGTCTCCAGAAGATTTTGTTTTGTCTGGGTTAGTCAATAAAAATGTCTGAAAATTATACACAATTTGATTTAGGTGTAGCAACTGGTTGTAATATTGAGAGAATTCTGTGGGTAAATTGAGATAACACAGCCATCACAAAATATTGATTTCATAATTATTGTTATCCTTTATGTGCTAAGCTCTCAGAATGCAAAAGTGAGCAAGACTGTCATGGAAGATGTGATCTAGTGAGAAGAAAATTATCAAGTGAATAAAATAATTGCAAAGTAGGATAAATGTCAAGAAGGTACTTAATGCTATTAATAAATATTAATAGTAATAATGAAGGAATACAGGATTACCCCTTTGGGTGGGTTAGTTTCATAAGGCCTTTCTGAAAAAAAAATGAGATCCAAAAGATCTAGTCCTGGGCAAGGTAGGCTTGGCAGGCAGTCCTGGCTGAATGAAATGCATGTGTCAAGACTCTGAAAGAAGCCTAACATGTTTTGAATCTTATGATCAAAAGCAAGGGAAACCAGAGATGAGGGTATAGCTTGGCCAAGGTGGAATAGAACCTTCTGGAGTACAAGGCCATGAGTAGATAGGCAGAAGGGTTATGAATTCCTGGTTAATATTTTCAGAAGACAACTCCTTGTTCTGCTAACATGTAATGTGAGTGAGTAGCCACACTGAAAGAAGAAGATGCCAAGAAACCACTGTGTGTCAAGTGAGCACTGTTGGGGGTCTTATGGGAGGCTAAAAAGACACAAAGTGTAGAAGCAAGTGGTGTTTAGATTAGATGGAAGCCAGTTTGACTTTATAAGCATATTGATTTGGGGTTTTATTATGCTTGGAACTTCTTAACCTGTTTAATTACTTCATGTCATTAAAAAGAGATGACACATTCTTTTTGAATGAAGTGAATGTTTCATTCATAGTCATTGACATGCATCTGACCTGTCACTTCTGAGAACTACTCAGATATCTTACATTTATTATTTATCTTCCATATAAGTACTTCATATGCTTTATGATTGTAATAGTCATTCTTTGTATTTCACATTCTCTAGTAAAAACTAATTGGTCAGATACAACTTTATTATGGCACTTTCTACATCATCTATCCATTTGCAGAATTGACATATAGTCATATGATTAAAAGATTCTTAAACTATGTCAGTACAGATTCTACCATATTTCCTAGTTCAGATGTTAGAAAATTTTGCTCAAAGACTTTGCCATAATATTTGCATCAATTTGAAATTTTGTTTAAGGTATGTACTTGTAGGTATTAATAATAAAGGTTCTGAAGCATATGCTATTTGAGTAAGTATGAAATATTCAGAATGCCTGTGCATATCATCTCCAATTCCCTGCTGTTAGAATATTTTTCTGCCTAACACTGTCCTTAATATGGTGTAGGTGTTTTTCAGATGTTCATGGAATGAGTCAATGGTTTTCTTTTGTTAGTGATTACACAGTGGCATTTACTGGTCATTTCTTTGTGCTGATATTAATACTGTTGAAGGCCTTCTCATCTAAAAAAAGATTAGGCACTAAAACACAATGTGGTATGTCTACTTAATGGAATACTCTTCTTTAATAAAAGAAATAATGTACAAGCAACTCTCAAAGTCAACAGCAAAGCAAGCGGCATAATTTAAAAATGGGCAAAGAACTAAAGCAGAAATTTCTCTAAAGAAGATACCCAGATAGCCAATAAGTACATGAAAAGATGGTTGACATCACTAATCATTAGGAAAAGGCAACATAAAATGCAATCTCACATACATTAGGATGGGCACTATCAAATAAAATGGAGTAATACTGGCAAAGACATAGAGACATTGTAGAAACATTTCTGGTAAAAAAAATGTAAAATGTTGAAGCCATTGTGAAGACCAGTTTTATAGTTTCTTAAAAATTAAAAATTGAATGGTTTTAAAACTCATTCTTCTCTGCCCTGAAGTTTACATGAAGTTTGGAGGGGTAAGTACTGTGTTTCTCATCTTCAAAAAGTAAGAAAAGATTTTGTTTTCACTTCTCAGCTTTTTCCTACTCTTTTGAGATTTGGTGAAAAGATTGGAAACTTTCCCAACAGCTGAATTTCAGATTTTAATTAGAAAAAGACACACAAACACACACACACACACACACACACACACACACACACACACACCCATAGATCAGTACTGCTCTCAACATCTGCCAGAGAAGGGTTTTTTGTTGTTGTTGTTTTGTTTTTATAGTGGATAGCAGTCAATGAAGAGTCAAAACTGGTCAAAGTGCTGGGAATAACTCACCGTTGAGTTCTCAGCCATAAATGGGACATCTATATTAATTCTCTAAAGGTTTTGATAACAAGACCAAAGGGTGGGTGGAAAAAGTGTAAGAACAAGAACGGAGTACAGTGAGGAATGTTCTGAAATTCTGTCTTCTGGACATGGCATGGTCACAGTACTGATGAATTCGTATCAGTTATGGTTGCCTGCAAGACTGTACTAGATCAATCTGTTTAACATTCCTGCACTGATAGGGAAGGGATCCATAAGACTTGACTCCAGATGAAGATCTATTGGCAACTGATGGCCACTGTTGGGGGGAGACACTCTTTTTGGGAATGTGGCCACTGGCAGTTTACCCATGTTCATGCAGGTAGCACTAACTGGACTTAGTGTGGACAATAAAAAGAAAGAATAAAAGGATGTGAAGGCAGAAGAGGAATGTGTTGAGGGATAAAGAGAAGAGGATGGGGAGTGTTAGGCTGATTTGTACATTGTACATTGTACATAATTATGAAACTGTCAATGGATTAATAAAATATTAGTTGATAAATACAGTAAATTAACAACAGTGAAGAAGAAAGGAAAAAGAGAAAAACACAATAAGCTAGAGGGATACTGAACCATTTTCCTTTGTGAAAATAGCTTCCCATTCTGACTGGAGTGCCACAGCTATTGCTCACCATATTGTACATAAGGATCATAGTGATATAATAGCATCAGCAGAACAAGGCCCAAGTCTGTTAAGTTGCTCACAGGTAGGAATACTGGATAAGGTGAGTGAGTGAGAATGAAAATCAGGAATCAAAGATGAGAACAACTAAAGGCAAATCCTAGGAAATCTGTTATCTTACAACTCATTAGCTCTTTAAAATTCAATTATGTTATCATTATCTTCCATGTTCCCAACTTACATTTTGAGGCTATCACTCTTTATTCATGCATTTTCCTGTGAGTCATCTTTATTTGGAAATGAATTCATCTTCAGCTTTCCCTTTTTCCAGCAAGCATTTTTTCCAGCTCCCCCTTTCAAAGCTAGATCCACTGGAAGGAATTGCTTCACTGTCCCTCTTTATAACTGACAGGCTATCACTTCTCGGTTATGGCCTGACTTCTCTCTCCAAGGTTGTTTGTGTTGTCACCCTCAGAAAGAAGGATGTGACTACTCTGTGGTGCTCCACAGGGTGGAATGAAGATTAATAGTGGGAAATAAGAGAAAGAAAAATTGTATCAGTTTGTGGAGGCCCTTTCTAATAACTATAACTACATGGCAATCCCTAGAAGTGTCCAGGTAGGAGCCAGCCATTTGTCATTGCTACTAGCAAAGGGATGCTGGCACTTCAGTGTCATAGCAGAGGACTTAGTCTTTCCAGGTTCCTCCCAGCTCTATGAGTCCATCATTCAGAGAGGATTATTTTTCTCATTTTTTTCATTTCCAACATCTAAGCACAAGGATTAAATAAATAAATAAATAAACAAATAAATAAATAAATAAATCCTCTTTGAGATGTCCCTAAGTTTTCCCCTTACCCAGCCCTTCATGGACTTTGCACTTTGCACTATTAGACATTAGTGATTCCACAATTCAGTGCAATGATGGATCCTAGATTGTGTCTCTAAGTCTCAATTTAATTTTCTACTTTAAAAATATTTAAGATGAATTGGCATGAAAAAATAAAGGACTGGATTGGTGTTAAAAGAGACTGAAGAGAATCTTATGTCATTATAATTTCTCATCCTTTTTTTCTCATGTGCCATCACATTAAATTGACATTCAATTTCTTATATATCTCTACAACCCTGTTGAAATTTTACATTTGTGGGCTAAAGGCTCTTCTAGATTTAGACTGAGTGTATTCCTGCATCCCCCTCTCCATTTTTAGCTTCTAGAAATCACCTATTTTTCTTTCCCTGTGGAGATTTTCTGCTATGCTCATTGCTTTAACAGAAACTCTGTTCTAGACAGCTTCTTTTATTTTTTGTGATTAAATTCTCAACCTGAAATCTAATATGGAATAACAAGGGGACTGAAAATTCTTCACAGACAGTATAAAATACAGAGGAAGCCTAAACATTTTGAGACTGGCTACCTTAGAGAGAAGCATTCCTTCTGTGCTGACCTAAGGTAGATGGAAAGGGTTCAAAGGTAGAAATTATGTGCCCTTGTAAAGACTTAATGCATAGTGTAAAGGATCGTATATGACCTGGGATAATCCTGTGAGCTGCAAGATGGGAGGGTGCTTGTTCACACAGTGTCAAAATGACCTCAGCTATTCATTAGCCACAGAAGAACTGCCTTGGATCTTAAACACTAACCTCATAACGGCTTTCATAGCCAATGTCACATCTAGATTGTTATTGCTAGAACATCCTTTGTGGAATCATTCATGCCCTTTACCAGCTTAGTCATTCCAGGACAAAGGACATCATCCGTGTGAAATACCAGTGTGTTGAAGGCATTCAAGACAAATGAAGCCTTCCCTTCCCTCCCCCACAACTACCTCACTATCTTTCTATTTTGCTCAAACTCTTCAGCAATAAATAAGCATGAGATGAAATAGAAATGACATTCTTGCCATTTCCATTCCTTTGAGGTGGAAATATGAATTGAGCCTTTCTTGATAGGTTTATCCCACGCTATCTGTCCAAATGCAAGGGCTGAGAGAGGGGCTACACACACACACACAACCCCACACACACACACACACACCCAGCCATATCAGCCTTGTATAGAGTTTTATAAAGTCATTAAACCTTCAGCAAATCTACACAGGCTATTTGCATTTTTCACTGCCATTTTTCAGTTGCTTTCTTTCCCAGGAGTCAAATGTACATTTCTTTATTCCCTTAATGTCTCTGTTAAATAAAAAAGCATCCAGCATGCACACAGCAATTTCCATAGTCACTATAACCTACATGTTCTTCCTACCTACTTGTACCAAAGATTGCCTTATCTATTTTATACCCCTGGTAATCAGCGTATTAGTTCATTCCCAAGGCTACTTATCTGAAGATAAAAACCTGGGGAAAAAGTTGTGATTTCTGTGTATGTCTTAGATGGGGCAGGGAGGTTGAGCTGGTCTTGAAAGAAGCTAGCACTCCCTGCATGCTAGTGCCCCCCAAGCTCATCAGCTCATTACATCTCCAATCTCTTGATTACAAACCTAGGGTAACTTTTGTCTTGTACTTCCTCCTTTTCTAACAGCCAAACAACTTGGAAGTAAACTGAGAGCAAGCAACAATCAGAGACAGCCTCTGCTCCCTCTGCCTGGAGTCCCACAAGAAGACCACCTGGAAGGCCTGCAATTTTCTGAAGTGAAGGGAAAGGGAGTGCATGGGGGAGAGGTTGGAGAAGGACTGGGAGGAGAAGAGGAGAGGAAACTAAATTGGGTTGGGAAAATGAATTAATTGCTTAATTAAAATGTTTAAAGTAAAAAAAAAAAAGCGAACTGAGTTAAGTGGGAAATGGCTAAATTGTCTCAAGGAATGAACAAGTGATGCCCCTTCCTTTAATCCACTGGTATAAAGTTGATCATTTTGAAATGGGATAGATTTTTTAAACAAATATAGTAAATATTCAAGTCAGTCAATGAACCAATATAAGAAGTGGAAAGTAGCTACTGTTTCAGGAGG